GTTTCCAAAATTGGAGAATTTTTGGCCATGAGGATGTCCTGGTCACTCTGGCATGGTGTCATACCCTTGGAGCGTTATCCTGATCCCAAAATTTGAGAGGTTTGGCCATGGGGATGTCCTGCTGGCACAAGATGACCCCAGTTGGAGCATTGTCCTTGTCCCAGAATTGGAGAGGTTTGGCATTGGGAATGTCTTGGTCACCCTGGCATGGTACAATCCCTTTGTTTTGGGGCATTATCCCGCTCCCAAAATTGGAAGTTTGCCATGGGGATGTCCTGGTCACCCTGGCTCTGGCAGGGGTGACAGAGGGTGCTGCCACCCAGGTGCCACCACAGAGGGGTGGGTGTCAGACCCGTGGGACATCCCAGAGGTGCAATCCAGGAGCTGGAAGGAGGATCCCTCATCCATCTCCCTGCCACCATCCCACCATCCCCGTGGTCCCTCAAACTGCCAGGAAAAGGCAGCCAAAGCTGGCCAGGAGCAGCTCCAGGGGTGCCAGGAAGCAGGAAAAGCAGCTTTCGTGTCCTTAACGAGCCCCTAATGAGGATTTGGAGCAGCCACATGGCCACCTAATCCCCCACGCTGCTTCCTCATCCCAGCCTCTCCATTCCTGCACCTTTTCCCTCCAGGAGGAAGGGCTGGGTTCGTTTTCCCCCTTCCTGGTGGGTGGATGGGCCCCCAGGGATGTGTGGGCATGAGCTGAGGAGTGGCAGGAATCCCCCTCCATGCTCCAACCTCTCCTGGTGCCCCTCCAAACTTCCCTCACCTCATCCACCATCCCTTCCTTTGGCATCTGATGCTTCCCAGCTCTGTTGTTCCTTTTTTTCCACCTGTCCATCACCAGCTGGAGATCTTGCCCACTTCCTTTTGGTTTCTTATCCAAGATATCATCCCAAAAAGAATGCCCCTAGGGTAGAGCCACGCGTGTGCCAGCCAGGTCCAGCTCACAGGCTGCCAGTGAGGGTGTTTGAGATGCTTGGAAACAAGGAGAATTAAAAGTTTTGCCATTCTTTTTCCCTCTGCCAAAGCTCCAGCACCCATTTCCCACTAAAAACGGGGGCTGGGGGAAGCAGTGGGATGAGGATTTGGGATGGAGAGGGTGATAAGGCAGTGAGGTGACAAAATGCTCCCAACTCCTCAAGCATCCCCCCCATCCCCAGGGCTTCCCCAGCAGAAAGATGGGAAGGAATTTCCGATTTCCAAGCCCCAAATTTGTCAGCTGGGCTGAGTAACAGAGGAACGTGGCAGCACTGGGAATCCTGGGGCACTTTTATCTCCCGTGGCAGCATCTCTCCCACCCCATCCTTTAATTAAGAGAGCCTGGCGTGGAGACGAGGTGGGAGCACGATTTGGAATGCAGGGAGCAGGGCGATTTAGATTTTTTTTTTTTTTTTTTCCAAGGATAACCTGTCATCCTGTGAGGAGTTCACCCACAGGTTTCCCCTCTCCCCCCACAGCCAGGAGCAGAGTTAATTTGTATTTTCTCTTCGTTATCCCTGCGGATCTCCCCTCACCTGCTCCTCTTAAGCTGCCTGGGCTGTAATCCCCTCTGAAAAGTGACAGGGAGCAACAGCAGCTTATTCCTCAAGCTGCTTTCCTGGCAGGGCCTCTAATGGTCCCTGTGCTGCTTTACCTTCACTCGGCCACAATTCCCACCAAATTTGCTTTTTGAGTCACCTTTGATTTTCTTGGCTTGGCATTGAGAAAAGGAAGTCTTGGGTTTTACATGTCGCTGAAAGCACGACGCCAGCCACCTGCTATTTGCAAGGTAAAGAAGAAAGTTTATTTTCTGACTCCACCTTTTATACTTTCCCAAAGGTGACAGTGGGCAAGGTAAAGAAGAAAGTTTATTTTCTGACTCCACCTTTTATACTTTCCCAAAGGTGACAGTGGATTGGAGAGTGAAGGTGCCACCTCTCCAAAGACATTGGACAAACCACCAGTACCTCAAGCTTCTCCACCCCCATAAAGGAATGCAAAACAATATCTTCTTTATAGAAAATATGTGGGAAAGTTCTCCAACAGAATATAAACTCAGAAGGCTTTGGAAAATCTTAAGAATCAGGGTGACAGTTACAGAGGCTGGTGGGAGAATTTGGGAATGGTTTTGGCTGTCAGAGCCCCTCATTGCCTGTGGAGGAGCACAGAGAGGAGGATGGTGTTGGGGTTATTGATAATATCAGGGATTGGGAATATTTTTGTCGTGGTAAGAGTTGTCAAACCCTGCCAGGGTCTGCCCAGGAGTCACCATCCTCAGAAAATGCATGGATGTGGCACTTTGGGGCTTGGTTTGGTGCTTGGATTGGGTTTTAAAGCCCTTTTCCAGCCTTGCTGATTCCATGATTTGTTCTAAGCACCCACAGCTGCTCCGGGGTTTTCCTCTGTGCATCTCTCAGGGACGGGAATCCTTCCCTTGCTCCAAATGCATGGAATGGATGAAACATCCGGGATTTCCTTGTGAGGCTTCCCCAGAATTCCAGGTGGAGTTGTTCAGGCCCCATTTGCAAATGGAGGGGTTGGTGGCGCTTCTCCAAAGGCTTTGGACACTCTCCTGATCCTTGCAGGGGCGTCGCTGTAGGACACGTGAAAGCACGACGTGGATCTCCGCTGTTTCAGAGATAAAATGTTGATTTTCTGACCCCGGCATTTATACTTTTATTTATTTATTTATTTATTTTATTTATACTTTTATTTATTTTTATTTATACTTTTCCTGGTGCCTTCTCCGGGCCGCTGCTCATCC